GAATTAGCAGGTCCAGTCTAAGATAAAATCGAAACTCCAAATCTTCTAATCTTCTCCCCTCACCAGCACATGCCTGCTTCAGCCTGACAGCCTGCAGGCAGGAGGGGGAATTGGGTGCCTCTTCCCCATTTCTCCTCCTGCTTGTCTCTCTTCTCGCTTCCTCTATGAGCCAGGGGTCGGCAAACTTTTCAGACAAAGAGCCGCCAGGGGTCAGCAAACTGCGGCTCTCGAGTCACATGCAGCTAGCTCTTTGGGTACGTACATGTGGCTCTGAAGTAAAATGGAAAATGAAAATAAAACTATCATAGTTTCATTTATAAAATTTTTAAAGGATATTATTCACATAATGGTGATTGTGTAAAAATATATTTATGGCTCTCGAATAATTTTTAAATTGTTGTGAGGGACAGGATTGGCTGTTCCAGGGATCGGCAAACTTTTGAGAGGGAACGTACCCAGAGAGCCACATGTGGCTCTCGAGCTGCAGTTTGCTCTCCCCTGGTCTACCCCAAGCTGACCAGCCAGTTTCTGGCCCCTCCCAGGAATGGAGCAGGAAGTGAGAGCAGTGGTGAGGGGATAGGAATGGCCTGATGACCTTGAACAGTTAGGGCTCTAAGCTGGCTTTGGGTGCACTGGTCCTGGCAAATGTTTAATGCTGATTCTTTCTTCCATAGGTTTTCTTCTGGATTCTTCTGAGGTTTCTTTCTCCAGGGAACTCTCTCCTGCATGTCCTTCCACTTTCCTCAAGCACAGGAAGCTATCTCACCTCCAGCTTCTTGCTGGTACCTCCCAGCATCTTCTAGCCAGCCTTATCAGACAGACACAGGCCATCCTATATTTGCCCACACTGGCCCCAGGAATCTCTCAGTCATCCCTTGCCCAGAGACACTCAGGGCATATAGACCCAGCCCAGCACAACTGTTTCTTCAAGGGGCCCCGTGGCAGCCCCCTCCTTATGTAGCTTGAGGGAAAGGAGGCAGCAGATTCTCCCTCCTGCCTGGTGGAGAGCAAGGACCCAGCACCACAACAGTTCTCTCCAAAGACATGGCTCCACAAATGCCCTTCCTATCTCTCCATATCTGGAAACTTTTCACATCCTCAGACTGGACAAGGGTTCGTTCATCTTGGAACTGGTTCTTTAAAATTCATCAAGTCTGTACTTGGTGATGTGGCTTCATATCTATTGTGCTTTGGTGTCTCAGTCGAAACTTTAATTTGAATATCCTGATACACTGTTTAGGGAGTTAGAAGGTAGATAATGATTATAAAGGGGCACAGGCTGTCTATATTGCCTAGCTGTAAAGAAGAAATTGCTGCACCCCTACAGCAGGCTGTGTGACTCCCCAAAGAACTGAAGGGCAGATACTACTTTTTTTTGAGTATCTGCCATATGCCTGGCTCTTGTGAGGTGGGTGCTACAACTCTAAGTCCCTCTTTATTGATGAGGAAACTGAGGCAGTTAGCATCATTGGATTCAATCCAAGCAACATTTATTGAGTCAGGCTGGAAGACAAATAGGGACCTGAGATGAAATCCCTGCATTTAGGGAGGTCACTGTCCCTTGGGGAGGCAGGCAAGGGCAAGTCAAGGACAACAGGTTAAGGAGCAGCTAGCTACCTTATCTTCTGAGGGAAAATAAAACCCCATTTTGGCGAGGCATATACCATGGTTTTGTGACCATCTTATTACTTTCCTCTCCCAAAGTTTGTTCTCATGTTAACATTTTAATCTTTTTAATTTGCCTCTGTTGTTATTTATTTATTTTAAATTACAGTTGATGTACAATATTATATTAGTTTCAGGTGTACATCAACATTTTAATCTGTGACAGCAGTCCTGGCCCCTCTGATCCCCAATGGTCAGCTGACAGTGTATAAACTGCTTTTCCCTCAGCCATCTTGTGGTTGCCTCTCTTAGATGACCAAGAGGCTACCCTGGGGTGGTTGCCACGTCCTCAGGGGGCCTTTTTATAACTGGTGCCCATTACAGTCACTCAATACCAGCTTCTCCCATCCTTCCTGTTAGTAGAAACCCTGGCAAACCCGCCACTGGCCTCACAGCAGATTTAAGCTCCCGAAGGCCCCAAACCCTTTTTTTCCAGTCCTATTTTCTGTGGTATTTATAGCCCGAATGTGAAGGGTGTTATTATTCTCCTTCTCTACCTTTCTTTGCTTGAAATAAAGACTCAGTCCACCCTTCTATTAAGCCAGATTTGCATAACACCTCCTGGCAAGAAACCTCCTTGGGGTCCAGGGACTAGAGCCTCTGAACTCTCGTCTTTATACTATGCAGGGTTTCTGAAAAAGCTCTATTCTTCTTTGAAGGCACAAGAAACCAGGAGAGACTTAGCTCAAATGCATTCCCTTCAAGTAGCTGAGCCTTTGCATTTCTAAAGCAGCTTCCAGCCCACGCTCTAGAGACTTCCCTTCCCTCATTAGAGGGGAGTGGAGGGGAGCCCAAGGTCACCACTTGTGGGTCTCACGAAATAAGCTTGAGTGAAGCATTCAGCTTCTCGGGGAACTGATTTTCAAGGCCTGATCAGATACCCCACCTGCATCAGGTAGGTGTAGGAGTAGGCATCCCCCTGCAGTTAGACTCCATCCCTGACTGAGCTCCCCACCCCTTGGTGACTCATATGGGTCCCCTGGAGTCCACTTTCTACTCCTCCCACATACTGGACTGCGCTTCTTTAATAGGGCCTTGCAAAAAAGGGGTTTTCTTTCATCACAGACTATAGATAAACAATGGGATTTACTAAACCAGTTACATAAATACAAAAGCTGTTTACAAGTATAACAGGTAGGTGTGAATTTCATTTTGCTGCCAATTCCCCCTCTCTAGGAATTAGTAGTAGTAGTCTAGCCAGGCAAGGGGGCGCTAAACTAAGTCATTCCCATTCACCTTCACCTTCTTTACTTCAACATTTACTTGAAAAACACAAAAGTGTTAAGAATAACCTATAATTAAGAGGATAAAAAGACAAGCCACACTGGGAGAAAATATTTGCAAAACACATATCTGAAAAAGGACTTGTATCCAAATTACACAAGGAACTCTTAAAACTCAACAATAAGAAAACAAACAACCCAATTGAAAATAAGCAAAGATCTGAACTAACACCGCATCAAAGAAGATACACAGATGGCAAATACACATATGAAAAGATGCCCCCGCATCATATTTCATTAGGGAATAGCAAATTAAAACAACAGTGAGATACCTCTACTCACATACCAGAATGACTAAAATCCAAAACACTGGCTACATCAAATCCTGATGAGGATATGAAGCAACAAGAACTGTCATTCATTGCTGGTGAGGAATCAAAATGGTACCGCCTCTTTGGAAGACAGTCTGTCAATTTCTTACAAAGCTAAACATTCTCTTACCGTACAATCCAGCCATCACAGTCCTTGGTATTTACGCAAATGAGTTGAAACCTTATGTCCACCCAAAAGTTTTTAGCAATTTTATTCACAATTGCCCCCCAAATTGAAAGCAACCAAGAGGCCCTTCAACAGGTAAATGAATAAACAAACCGTGGTACTTTCAGACAATGGAATATTTAGCGATAAAAATAAATGTGCTATCAATCCATGAAAACACACGGAGGAACCTGAAATGCATATTACAAAGTGAAAGGAACCAGTGTGACAAGGCGACATAATACATATATGGTTTCCGTTACATGACATTCTGGAAAAGGCAAAAGCACAGAGACACTAAAAAGACCAGTGGTTGCCAGGGATTCAGGGAGGAGGGAGGGAGAGATAAACACAAGGAGCGCAGGGGATTATTAGGGCGGTAAAACTCTGTGTGATACTGTAATGATGTCTATATGACATGATACATTTGTCAGAACCCACAGTGCTGTACAACACAGAGTGACCACTAAGGTAAACTATGGACTGTAGTTAATAATATATCAATATTGCTTCATCGATGATAACAAATGTAGCATACTGATACAAATATTAATAGTGGTGGGAACTGTCAAGAGGGAGTGTGTCGCGAGAAGAAGGAGCATATGGCAAGTCTGTACTTTCTGCTCAATTTTTCTGTAAACTTGAAATAGTCTATTCATTTTTTAAAAGAGCTGTAATTCCATCCTTTTTCAATCACATAAAGTAAGAAGTAAAATTTCCAGCCCATTTCATTCACCCACTCTACACATCTCCAATAAGGTAACCATTGTTTATAATTTGGCGTGCATGCTTCCTGATTTTTTTTCCCTAAGTTTCTATAAATCTATCTACCTACCTACCTGCCTACCTACCTACCTACCTACCTACCTATTCGGCCTCACACATTAAAAAAATAAACAGGAGGGCCGGCCGAATGGCTCAGTTGGTTAAGAGCTCGCTCAAGAGTTTGAGCTCTGAGCAACAGCGGTTTGAGTCCAGCCCAAGCTGAGCAGCCACTGAGCTGTCAACAGGTAGCAGGATGGCTCAGCTTAAAAACAAACAAACAAACAAACAAACAAACAAATAAATAAATAAACAGGAGGGCCGGCCAAGTGGTGCGTTAGTTAAGAGCTGGCTTGGGACACCAGAGGGCCCCGGTTCACATATGATCCCACATATGAGGGCCAGTGACACTGCCCTCTACAGCTAAGATGCTGAACAACAGCTAAACCTGGAGCTGGGCTGCTGTGAGTCGCTGGCGATGGCATAGGCTGTAGCCCCTGCTGCAGTGGGTTGCCATGGGCTACCGTGTGTAGCCAGCAGCCAGCGTGAGTGGCCAGCAGCTGCTGTGAGCAGCCGTCCAGAAGCCAGCGACTGATCTGCCTCGCCCGGGAAGAGCACAATGGTGGTGCCAACTTGGGCCGGTGGGACGTCTTCCACAACTAGACTGAAGAACAAAAACAAAAAAAGCCATGTCTTGAGCAGTCCTATGGAGAAGCCCATGGGGAGAGGAACTAAAGTCCCCACCCCCCACCAACAGTCACGTGATTGATCTTGAATGCAGAACCTCCAGTCTCAATCCAGTCCTCAGAAACTGTCGCCCTGGCCAGTACATTGACTGCAACCTCGTGAGAGACCCTGAGTCAGAACCATCCAGGTAAGATACTCCTAGGTTCCTAACTCTCAGAAACTGTGTGAGATAATTACTTGTTGTTTTAAACTGTTAACTATGGGCCTAACTGCAAGGGATGCTGGGAAATAGTCTACTTGTGTCCTTCCAGAGGAAAGGGAAAGGGTTTAGTGCACACCATGGCATTTCTAGGATTTCCACTCCCACTTGGCAGAAACAAAGGTCAATTCCATCAACTCCTGAAATATGGAAAAGCCAAAGGTCTCACTTGTGGCTACTTGTTGCCTGTTTTACGTGCACCACAACAGCCCTGGACATCTAGAGGAAAGTAAGGAATACTAAACACCAAATGAACTGTTTATTTCATGTATTTTAATTATAACAATCATTCTATTTTGTGGGTTATTTTTCTTAAAGTGTCTACCAAATTGTTTACAAAACAACGGTAGTATATAGGATTTCAGTGTTGCAGGGGGAAATATGTATTTGTATGCCATGAAATAAAGAGTGGGAAGAAATATACCAAAACTTTAACTAAGGTTATGCCTGCCTGGTGAGATGGTCAGTGGCTTTCACTTATTTTGGGTGACAGTGTATTAGTATTTTTCAGTTTTTCTCAGATGAAAATATGTGTGTTATTTTGTCATCAGAGAAGATCATTATTTTAAAAGTAAAGATGATCATTATTAAAAATAATATTATAATATTATTTTATATTATTATAAAAAGCAAAACCCCAATTCCTCTGTATGTGTAAAAGCCTCCTAAAGTGAGCAGGCAGGGGGTGGGGGCAGTTGAGAAGCACCTGTTCTGTTCAGGTTGAGCCTGGATAACACTTGAACTCTGGGGAGCCCCCTCTGCATTTGTTAGTTCCCCAACCTCAGGGAGAACCCAGTCGACTGGCTTCCCAGGGTGACTGAATCTTTGATCCACTGCAGGGAGACTCACATTCATGCTTGATGTGGTCAGATCATTCTCTTTAGCTACTCTTTTCCCCCTTGGTGAATGGAAAACCTTTGTCTGCTAGGAAGGCTTCTCCCTAATGACTCCCCGCCTTCTCGGTTTCACAGCCACCTACGCAGAAACAAACCTTCCTTTCAGTTTATCAGAATCGCATTGAGTGGTAGCTTCCTCTGGGCCATGTACCCCTCAGGTGCCTGCTTTGTTGCCCCTCTTATCTGCCAGGCTCTGGGTTAAGCATCAGAGCTACAGGCTGTGGCTTAAAGACACAGGTCCCAGGTTCCAATACACACACACACACACACACACACACACACACCCGCCACTTCCTACCGTGTGATTTTGGGCAAGCCGCTTAACCACTTAGCCTTAGTTTCTTCATCTATAAAATGGGGCTAAAACTTTTCATAATGAACATCATGTATTTAAAGCATTTAGAGCAATGCATGGCACATAGTAAGAGCCGCCGTAACTGTTACGCATAGGAATCATGAAGTTAGACAGGATTCCTGCCCTCTTGGAGCTTACAGCTTAGTGGGGAAAGACAGACACCAAATACATAATTAGAGATGAAATGAGTGATAAAAAAAAGGAGTAGAATTCAACAACTAAAGAGGTAGGATTTAGCAGATGAAAAACTAGGGGCTTTAAAATGTTAAGCACCTTTGTCTAGGTCACTCTATTAGCTAAGTGGTGGAGCTGGGATTCAAACCTGATCTGTTTCGCTCCACGCCCTTACACTCATGGCCATATTGTGACCTTCATGAGCCAAAGGTACTTTGCCCCTTCCTCCATGAAAAATATTCAAAATTATATTTTTACAACTGAATTGATATAAAGTCAAAGGTAACCCAGGCTGGGTTATATTCATTTTTGTCCTTATGGTCCTAAAATAATTAAAACATTTTCATAGGATCCTAAAAATATCACAGACCCTAGCCACTGTTCACACTGCTTATCACAGGAAGCTAAATATTATATGATTCTGTGCCCCGCCCCCCCCCCCCCCCCCCCATAACCAGGAGCTTCTAGTCTAGTGGAAGGGATATAAAAACAAAACAACTAACATGAGTAACAAGATTTCCAGTTTATTTATTTATTTATTTTATTTATTTTTTTTAAAGATTTTTATTGGGGAATTGGGGGGATGGGAACAGTGCTGGGGAATTGGGGGAGGGGGAACAGACAAGTTGCTGTCGTTTTGTTCTTCAGTCTA